GGCGCCGCCCCCGCCCCGCACCGGCCCCGCGTAAACAAAGGCGGCGGGAGGGGCCGCAGCGCGGCCGGAGCGGCACCGGGACACGGCGGCGGAACGCGGCGGGACACGGCGGGGCGGGGGGCGACTGGAGCGGCCGGGACGGTACCGACCCGTGCTGGCACCGGCCCGTCACACCGCGTCGCGTCCTGACCTGGCTCCATCCCATGCTATTCTATCCTATGCTACTCTATCCTATGCCGCTCTGTCCCATCCTACCCTCATCCTGCCCTGTCCCAAACCCATCCCACCTCCTACCATCCTGAGGTGTCCCCGTGCCACTCCATACCCATCACATCCTATCCTATCGTACCATACCAAACCCTACCCTATCCCACCCTGACCTGTCCCCCTCCCATGCCACCTCATTCTATCCTGCCCTGGTTCCATCCCATCCTACCCCATCTTGTCCTGCTTTATCCTACCCCATCCTTACCTGTGTCCATTCCACCCCACATCATTCCATCCTGCCCTATCCTCCGCTATCCCGTTCCACCCTGGCCTGTTGTGTTCCTATCTTATCCTATTTCAATGTGACCTGTCCCCATCCCACCTCATCCCAGCCCATCTTGCCATAGTTCTGTCCTATCCTGCTGTGTCCTATCCAGTCCTGATCTGCCTTGTCTCCATCCCATCCAGCCTTGTCCCTATCCTATCCTATCCTATCCTATCCTATCCTATCCTATCCTATCCTATCCTATCCTATCCCCATCCCATCCTGTCCTAGTCCTTTGCCATCCTACCCTCACCTGACCTGTCCCCATCCCATCCCCATCACACCCTAACCTCACTCCATCCTAACTCATCCCATCCTATCCTGTCCCATCCAATTCTACCTCAGCCCATTCTGACCTGCCTCATCTCCATCCCATCCCATCCTGTCTCATGGTATCCTGTCTTGTTCCAGTTCCATTTAATCCTATTCCATCCTGTCCTGTTCCCATTCTATCCTGCTTTATCCCCATCCCACCTCATCTGCCCTACCCCATCCTGTCCTATCCTACCTATCCTGACGTGTCTTGTCCCTATTCCATCTTATCCCATCCTATCCTGTCCCCATCCATTGCTGTCCTACATCCAGTTTGTCCCTCCCCATTCTACCCTATCCCCATCCCAATCCCACCTAATCCCCTCCCCATCCTATCCTACCCCAGCCTGGCCTCTCCTAGTCCTGTCCCATCCTCTTCTATTCAATCTCATCCCATCCCATCCCTGGTCCCAGCAGGGTCTGGCTTTTGGGGGGCTCAGGGGGCTGCCAGTGGCTGGGGGGAGGGGGTGTCACAGCAGCCCTGGGGCTGTCACAGGACTCAGGGAGCTGGGGGTGACAGGGATCCTATGGCTGGCAAGGGGCTTTGGGGAGGAGGCTCTGGCGGCTGCCAGAGGCATCCTGAGGGCTGATGGGGGGTTCTGGGGGCTGGTGGGGAGCTTGGGGAGTTGATTGAGGGGGGCTGGGAGCTGTCAGGGGGCTTGAGGATCTGATGGGGGGCTGTGGGGGCTGACAGAGGGGCTCTGAAAGCTAGCAGGGGACTCGAGGAACTGCTGGAGGGGTCTGGGAGCTGGCAGGGGGCTGTGGGGCCTCGCAAGGCGGTTGGGGGCTGGCAGGGCCATGGAGCTCACAGGAGGCATAGGGGGCTCCGGGTAGGGGTGGCAGGTTCATGTGGCCAGGGGGCTTTTAGGGCGGTTTTTGGGGGGTTGGCAGAGGGGTTATGGGGAATGGGGGGGGCTTAGGGGGATAATGGGGGGATGACAGAGGCTTTGGGGGTCTGTGGAGGTGCCAGGAAGGTGTGGGGCTGGCAGGGGAGCACAGGGCTAGCAGGAGCCATGGTGCGCTGGCAGGGGTTGTGGGGGGGTCACAGAGGGGCACAGAGCTGGGAGGGGACTCTGGGGGACTGCTAGGGGAGCACAGGGCTGGCAGGGGCCATGGGGAGTTGGTAGGGAGGGATGGGGCTGGCAGGAGCCGTGTGGTACCTGAGGGAACCTACCTGTGGCAGGTGACCTCCCCCCACAGTCCCCCCCCCAGCACTGCCTGCGTGGGTCCAGGGCCACCAGAGCGGGAACACCAGGGGGTCCTGGGGTGGGCTGTCACCCCGGAGGGGCAGGAGCCGGCCCTGCAGAGCAGGGTGGGCTCAGCCCTCCCCCTCCCACAGCCCGGCCCCGCTGGGAGCTGCAGGACAGGTTCTGCCGGGTGTCCCCTGGGCCCCCTGCCCGGCCCCCGCAGGGGCCCCACGGCGGGGGCTGCGCGTCCCCCCACGGCACGGGGACACCGCGTCCCCCTCCCTTTCATGGTGAGCCTGCTGGGGACACAGCGGCTTCTCCCCCTCCCGCAGGAAATCCCTCGGCAGGGTGGGATTTCGGTCACCCGCGTGGGGCAGTGCTGCCCTCCCGCGTCTCCCCTGCTTGTGGCGGGGATGTTGGGGACACGGCGGCTCCCCCACAAAAACACCCAAACCACGGGTGGGATGTGGCTTCGGCCGCCTGTGTGGATCAGAACTGTCCCTCCATTCGTGTCGTCCGTTCTGCTGCGCGGCTGTAGGGGACACAGCAGCTCTGCCCCCGCCAAAGAAAACCCCAAACCGCGGGTGGGATGTGGTTTCAACTGCCCGCCTGAGACAATTGTGCCCCTCACTCGCGTCCCACCTTTTGTGGGGCTCCTGGGGACCCGGCAGCGCCCGCATGGAACAGAGCTTCCTCCCCGTGTGTCCCTCTCTTTCGTACGGAGGACACCGCATCTCACCCTGAAAAAAAAAAAAAACAAAACCCAACAAAAAACCAAACGGAAACAAAACAACCACGGGTGTTTTGGTGGGGTGTGACTTCAGCCACCCGCCTGGGACAGAGCTGTCCCCCACGCGCGTGTCCTCCCTTTTATAGCGGCGCTGTTGGGGGCACTGCAGCCTTCCCCGCAAGAAAAACCCCAACCAAACAAAAAACGCGTGGGGCAATGTTGTGTGCCCCCCTCCCTGCCCCCCCATGTCGGGGGGCGCGTTGAGGACGCCGCAGCTGCATTCCGCCCCCAAAAGCAAATCACGGGTGGGGTGTGCCCAGCCACCCGCGTGGGCCCCGGGGGACGGACCCCCCCGGCGAGGCTGCAGCATCCGGGCCGGCCCCGCCACATCCTGCCGCCGGAAGGAGCCGCGGCCCCGGGACAACCCCCCCGCCGGTGACGTCATGCGGGGGCCCCCGCCAGGCGTGACGCCAGCCCCGCTCTGTGACGTCACGCGACGGGCGGGCGGCGCCGCTTCTGCGGGGAGGGGGATCCCCCCCAACCCCCATTTCCCCGGTGTGACCCCCACCCTCCCCCCCCGAGCCGCCCCGGTACGGGGTG